AGATAATGAAATAGTAGGAAAACAGTACAGAAAATGAATGAACCCTAAAGTTGGTTCTTTGAAAAGATCAACAAAATTGACAAACTTGTAGCTGGATGGGCTAAGAAAAAAAAAAGGGGGGAGAGAGTGAGAAGCCTCCAATGACTACAATCGGAAATGAAGATGAGGGCATTACTGCCAGTTCTTTTTTTTTTAATATTTTATTTATTCATGGGAGACACACACACACACACAGAGAGAGAGAGAGAGAGAGAGAGAGAGAGAGAGAGAGCCAGAGACACAGGCAGAGGGAGAAGCAGGTTCCATGCAGGGAGCCTGACATGGGTCTCGATCCCGGGCCTCCAGGATGAGACCCTGGGCTGAAGGCAGTGCTAAATCACTGAGCCACCTGGGCTGCCCTGCCAGTTCTACAGATATGAAGTGTTATAAGAAAGCAAAATGAACGATTGTTTGACAACAAATTGAAGAGCCCAGATAAAATGGACAAATTCCTAGAAACACAAAACCTACTAAGACTGAATCAGGAGAGGGATGCCTGGGTGGCTCAGCAGTTGGGTGTTTGCCTTCAGCTCAGAGTGTGATCCCAAGTCCCAGGATCGAGTCCCACATCAGGCTTCCTGCATGGAACCTGCTTCTCCCTCTGCCTGTGTCTCTGCCTCTCTCTCTGTTTGTGTCTCTCAAGAATAAATAAATAAAATCTTTAAAAAAAAAAAAAAAAGACTGAATCAGGAGCCCGCCATGGGGCTCAATCCCAGGACCTTGAGATCATGACAGAGATCTGAAGGCAGATGCTTCACCGACTGAGTCACCCAGGCACCCATTGCCATCCATTGGTTGCATTTCTATACAAGAACAATGAACAAACTGATAAGGAAATTGAGGGGGAAATTCCATTTGTAATAGCATCAAAATGAGTAAATACTTAGGAATTAACCTCACTGAGGAAGTGAAAGATCTATACACTGAAAATGAGAAAACACTGCTAAAAGAAAGGAGACATAACTGGAACAGAACCCTATGTTCATGGACGGGTCAAAATAGTTGGTATTGTTATTATCCAAAGTGAGCCATTGTTTTAATGCAATCCTTTAATGTCACTTTTTGCAGAAATGGAAAAAAAATCTATCCTAAAATTCATATTGGAATTTCAAGGGACCTAAAAGTAAAAAACAAACAAATATAAACAAAAAATCCTTGAAAAAGAACAAAGTTGGAAGAGATCACATTTCTTGACTTCAGAATTTACCATGAATATATAGTAATCAGAGACTCCATTGGTTAAGCATCTGACTCTTGATTTTGGCTCAGATCATGATCTTAGGGGTCATGAGATTGATCCCCACATCAGGCTCCATGCTGAGTGTGGAGCCTATTTAGTCTCCCCCACTCCTTAAAAAATGCAGTAATCAAGACAGTGGTGCTTGCATAAGATGGTTATATGGACCAGTGGGATGGCACAGAATAAACTGCTCCTAACCAAATCCTTGCATATATGGTGAAATGACTTTTGACAAGGGTACCAAGACCATTTAATGGAGAGAAGATAGTCTTTTCGTGAAATGTTTGGAATAGAAGATATCCACTTTGTGAAATAATGAAGTTGGACCCCTACTAACACCGTATATAAAAATTAACTCAAACTGGATCATAGATTATAGGGGTGCCCAACTGTCTCAGTTGGTGGAGGATGCAACTCTCAATCTCAGGATTGGGAGTGAGTTCAAGCCCCACATTGGGCATGGGGCCTACTTTTAAAAAAAGAACTACAACTATAAAACTCTTAGAAGAAACCAGGACAAAAGCTTTGTGACATGGCGTTTGTGAGTCATTGGCTATGAATGACATCAAAGGTACAGTTAGGAAATCGGCAAATTTGACTTCATGAAAATTTAAAAATTTTGTGTATCAAAGGTCACTGTCAACAGCATAAAAAGGCAACCTACAGAAATGGGAAAAAATATTTGCAAACCACATATCTAATAAAAGATTAATATCCAGACTTTGTAGACAACTCCTGAACACAACAACAAGAAATAAACAAAACACCCGGTCTGATTTCAAAATGGGCAAAGATCTTAAGTAGACCTGTGTCCAAGGAAGATGTACGAATGGCCAATGAGCCCATGAAAGATGTTCAGTGTCGTTGATCATCGGGGAACTGCGGATCAAAACATCGATAAGCTGGCACCGTGCACCCACCCAGACGGCTGCCGTTGAAACAGCAGCAGACTGCGTGTGGAAGTGCGCTGCTGGCAGGGGTGTGAGAGGGCGCAGCCTCTGTAGGAGCCAGTATGCTGGTTCCTCAAAAAGTTTGAAACAGAATTGCCATATGACCCAGCAATTGCATGTCTAGAAACATACCCCAAAGACTGAAGCAGGATTTGGAAGACGTGCTGCCCACCCATGTTCATAACATGATTCACAGCAGCCAAAAGTGGAAGCACCACGGCATCCATCAGGGGATGGATGGATAAGCAACATGTGGTCTGTCCACACACTGAAGAATCGTTCAGGCTCAGAGAAGCTCGGCCTCCTGACACCTACTCCAACAGGGATGAAGCGTGAGGACATTATGTCCCGTGAAATAAGCCTGTCACAAGAAAGACGTGTGATTGTACTAACGTGACATACGTGGAGTGGTGGGCGTGGGGGGCCGGGGAGTTGGGGTTTAGCAGGTACGGAGTTTCCTATTTAGAAGATGGATGGTGGTGATGTCAGTGCAGTAGTGTCAATGTACTTAACATGTTGGACTGTGCACGGAAAAATGGTAAAGATGGTAAGCTTTGTGTTGTGTGTGTTCACCACGCAAAATAACATCTGCCCAAGGAGCTGTGGGTTGTCAGGGGTTTGGGAAGAGGGGAAGGATGGATAGGGCAGAGCACAAGAGTTTTAGGCAGAGACACTATTCCATATGATACTAAAAGGTATCGTGGTTACGATACGAAATGCTTATGTGGCATTCCATGTTTGTAAATCCCATAGAATATATGACACCAAACGTGAACTCTCACATAAACCGTGGACTTCACTCAATGTGTCAACACTGGCTTATCAATTCCGGCAAATGTGCCCCACTCATGCAGGAGGTTAGTAACGGGGGCTGTGGGGACGTGAAGGGGTGTCTGGAACTCCTATACTTTTTGCCCAGTTTTTCTGTAAAGAGCACACTGCTCCAAAAACTGACACTTATTATTATTTTTTTAAAGGAAGCTTTCACACTGGCCAGAACTGGATCACAGGTGCTGAGCAGGCTGGGAGAGCAAAGAAGCAAATAGCATCAAGATGTGACAACAGGGATGATGAGGGGTGGCCCAGGTGACCCCAAATCTCACTGTGTCGGCTGGCAGCCCAGGGGGTCACCATGGCCACCTGGGCTGGTCAGAGCACTACATGCACACCCAGCCAGGTGCCGTGCCGGGGGCTGCTGAGCACCACAGTAGGAAAGCATTTCAGTCCTGGCCGGGGGGGGGGGGGTAAACATCTGAACCCTTCACTTGACACGCTAAGATTTTTGATGTGCTTCCTGTTAGCCTAAGGGAAGAGCGCAGGGGTGTGCATCTACCGCATAAAGCGGGTGCCTTTTGGCACTGATCTCATCTCTAGGATCTCGGTTTGAATCAATGCAAAACCGAGGAAATACTGTTGGGCACGAACACAGAAACCAGATACTAAGGTACAGTCATGACGCACTGGGACCTCCTGGCCTCTGGCTCCAGGAGCTGGACCTGTGGGTGGCAGGACACAGCCCAGCGGGAAGTGCATGGATTGTGGGGAGCACCTTGGTCTTCTGCTGTCAGCCTGGAGGTATGCCAGGGAAGACCCTGGAGACCACACAGGCTTCCTTCCATTCCCTGGCCGTCCCCGTGCCCCTGCTGGTACATCTGGGGCCACCCTGTGATAAACTGTTTGCAGTGAAATCTTTGACTCAGGCTCTGTTATGGGGGCAGACACCCACGAGCAGAGGCAGGAATCCCAAATGGGGGCTGGCGTCTCAGCATTGGCCAGCCAGGTGGACAGGGGCAGGGGACTGGACGGTGGCCACTCCACACGTGACAGCCCTGGGCCCTTGACTCTTGTCCCCACCTGTGGCTCACTCAGGGCTTCAGGGGTGGGCCTGAGCCCCTCTCGGCTTCTGTCTTCCCTGGCACATCTGGGGAGGCTCCTCTGAGTCAGGCTAGGGTCCACACGGTACGCTCTTCCTGCAGCTGTCTCCAGCAGGCGGCCACACAGGAGGTGCTTGCACAGACTTGCTTATCAGCTCAGCCTTGCCGTGGGGGCCAAGGTCTGGTCCACCTGGTGATAGGGAGAGCCCGAGGGAGGGAGCAGAAGGTGAGTATGGTGCACCTGTGTTGTTTGCGTGGGGCTCCTGGGGACACTGTGCTCCTGCAGGGTTGGCGGGGACAGGCCTGGCCCAGGGACAGGAGGGAGGGGAACAGGGCAGAGGAGCCGGGCAGGCAGAGGAGGCTTTTGGGATCTCTGTGCACTGTCAGGCCTTGGGAAACTGAACTTCCCCCTCCACCCAGAGAAGGATGATTGTCACTGGTCACTCCACCTCTAACTACCCCCTCTGTTATCAGGCTGTTAATATTAATTAACAACAGTTGCTAAGGTTGGCAGTGCAAGGTGTGTCCCAGGAGCTGGCCTGGTCCCAGGAGGGGGCCGGGCACAGAGGGGCTCTGAGGCTGGGCGGTCTGCACGTGGGCGGGGTGGGAGTGTGGGGGCGTGGAGGGCCAGTTCTCACTTCAGGAAGTAGGTGAAGGGGAGACCCCCCGCCCCCGCACGTCACCAGGAGCCTCATTGAGAGGGTGAGACAAAGCCAGGACGATGTCACCAGGAGGCTCATCAAGAGGGTGAGACAAAGCCAGGACAGAGAAGGTGGATCATTAACTAGCTGGCAGCCGTGGGAGGTGTGGGGCTCAGCCCCATTGGTCCCAGACAAGTCAGGCCAGGCTGTCCCTCATGGGGAGGCTGCCTTGCTGCGCACCCCCAGTTTAAGTACATGAGCTGCCTAGGCACGCACTCTGTGTCCCCAAGAGCCAGAGCTTAGCTGTCCCCAGCTGTCCCTGTGGCCTGGGCCCACTGCCCTCGGACCCCTTCCCTGCACAGGGATGGCGGACACTGGCCTGAGAGGCTGGCTGCTATGGGCACTGCTCCTGCGCGTGGTGAGTCTCGGTGCTCCCGAGAGGGGTGCGGGGCGGGGTCCTGGGTGGCCCACATCCCCAGGTCATGGCTTAGGTGGACCCAAGAGTTGGGGCCTGGGGATGACGGAGTGCCTCCCATCGCCGGTGCGCCGTGGGCGTCCTGGCCTGAGGTGGCCAGCAGAGGGGTCAGGGAGGGTCCTGTCCTGGAAGGCTGTTGGGGTGGGCTCGGGGGGATCACCTGGTGAGCCTTTAGTTTCTGGGGGAGCTCTGGGAGCTCTTACCTCAGGTTTCTCTGTGACTCCCTAGTCTGGGAGGACGGGTGAAGGCTTTCAGCCCCAAGCTGATGAGGGCAGGGAAAGCTCTGCACAGAACGTCTGAGAGGGGCCCTGGGCCCCCAGGTGTGGGCTGCAGCTCGGGCAATGGCAGCCACCTTCGAAGCGACACTGCCCCGAGGGCACAGGGCCACCTGGACTCAGTTCCCAGCCTGGCCCGGGCCACCGTGTCTCAGCAGGACTACAGAGCCGCCTCCATCCCATCCCACTCTCCCCACCTGTCCCCTTATCGTCCGATGTGACCATCCGGCCCCCTCCCCCTCTTCAGTGACCCCCTTCCTCAGGATGAAGGCCTGGCGGTGCCTGTCACCCATGGCCCCCAGACACCGTGGAGACACCCTGCCCCTGCCGGGGCCTCCCGCTGGGCACCCTGCACCTGCCCCCACTGCCCAGAGCCTCCCGAAGCGTTGCCTGGCGCCGGGGCCTGCAGTGATGTCGTCCCGCCCCACAGGCCCAGAGTGAGCTGTACACACCCATCCACCAGCCTGGCTACTGCTCTTTCTACGACGAGTGTGGGAAGAACCCGGAGCTGTCTGGGGGACTGGCGCCTCTGTCTAACGTGTCCTGCCTGTCCAACACGCCCGCCCCCCGTGTCACTGGTGAGCACCTGACCCTCCTACAGCGCATCTGCCCCCGCCTCTACACAGGCACCACCACCTATGCCTGCTGCTCCCCCAAGCAGCTGCTGTCCCTGGAGACGAGCCTTGCGGTCACCAAGGCCCTCCTCACCCGCTGCCCCACCTGCTCTGACAACTTTGTGAACCTGCACTGCCAAAACACCTGCAGCCCCAACCAAAGCCTCTTCATCAACGTGACCCGCGTGGCCGGGGGCGGGGGTGGCCAGCCCCAGGCTGTGGTGGCCTATGAGGCCTTCTACCAGGACAGCTTCGCCCAGCAGACCTACGACTCTTGCAGCCGGGTGCGCATCCCTGCGGCTGCCACGCTGGCCGTGGGCACCATGTGTGGCGTTTACGGTTCCACCCTCTGCAACGCTCAGCGCTGGCTCAATTTCCAGGGGGACACTTCGAATGGCCTGGCTCCCCTGGACATCACCTTCCACCTGATAGAGCCCGGCCAGGCCCTAGGGAGTGGGATGCAGGCTCTGACCGGGGAGATCAGGCCCTGCAACGAGTCCCAGGGTAATGGCACAGCGGCCTGCTCCTGCCAGGACTGTGCTGCGTCCTGCCCCACCATCCCCCAGCCCCAGGCCCTGGACTCCACCTTCTACCTGGGCGGGCTGGCAGGTGGGCTGGCCCTTGTCATCATCCTCTGCTCTGCTTTTGCCCTGCTTATCACCTTCCTGGTGGGTACCCGCCTGGCCTCCTCCTGTGGCAAGGACAAGATGCCAGACCCCAAGGCAGGCATGAGCCTGTCTGACAAACTCAGCCTCTCCACCAACGTCATCCTTAGCCAGTGCTTCCAGAACTGGGGCACATGGGTGGCCTCGTGGCCGCTGACCATCCTGTTGGTGTCCATCGCTGTGGTATTGGCCTTGTCAGGAGGCCTGGCCTTTGTGGAACTGACCACGGACCCCGTGGAGCTGTGGTCGGCCCCCAGCAGCCAAGCCCGGAGCGAGAAGGCCTTCCACGACCAGCATTTTGGCCCCTTCCTCCGAACCAACCAGGTGATCTTGACGGCTCCCAACCGCCCCAGCTACCACTACGACTCCCTGCTCCTGGGGCCCAAGAACTTCAGTGGGGTCCTGGCCTCTGACCTCCTGCTGGAGCTGCTGGAGCTGCAGGAGACGCTGCGGCACCTCCAGGTGTGGTCGCCCGAGGAGCAGCGCCACATCTCACTGCAGGACATCTGCTTCGCGCCCCTCAACCCTCACAATGCCAGCCTCTCCGACTGCTGCATCAACAGCCTCCTGCAGTATTTCCAGAGCAACCGCACGCACCTGCTGCTCACGGCCAACCAGACGCTGACGGGCCAGACTTCCCAGGTGGACTGGAGGGACCACTTTCTCTACTGTGCTAAGTGAGTCCCCCCACGGTCGGCTGCAGCTAGGGCTGCCGTGTGCAGCCAGGCCCCTGGTCCTGCCTGGCTCCCCATGTCGTATGTCGGTCTCAGGGGCTGAGACACACCCTTTCTCTCCCTGCCCCCCTCTAAGCCCCACTCCCTCAGGGCTTCCCACCCGCTGTTGCAGATTTGTCCAGAGCCATCGTGGCCTCTCTAGTTCTGGCTCCGCCTGGCCATAGCAGTGACATCCTTGCCCATTCTTGCTTTGTGTGTCACAGAGTCGTGCGATGGCCCCACACACACATGCCTTCACTTGGGGGCCCGTGAGGTGCCCTGGGATCAGGGCGGAGTCCCCCTATCAGGCGGTAGCCACATGCCTGACTGTCTGCACTGTGCCATGGTGTACCCAGGACGCTAACGAGGCCTCAGGACTGGGAGGGAGGGCTCTGGAGCCCCGCGCCCTGAGGGCAGCAGGTGGGCAGGCGGTGGCCCGGGCTCTCTGAAGCTGCAGTGGGCGGAGGTCCTTGACATCTGGTCTTGGGCCTGCTCACACTCTGACACAGGACCTGAGTCCCCAGAGAGCAATGGCCTGGGCAGAGGTTCTTTCTGCTGACATCTACCCCATGAGAAAGCGAAGCTGAGAAATAAAAGAATATGTATTAATTCTTTAAAAATGACAAGAGTAAGCCCGTTACACATCAACAGAGGTAGTACAGTATCCTGCTTAGTAGAAGGCAGCTGGATTCCGGCATCCGCGTGTGGCCTGTTGGTTGTAGTACAGTGAGAACACCTGGCTCTGCACCTGTGTGGCCAGACGAGGGAGCCATGCCGTGATAGCCTTTGCACATCCTTGGGAGTCACCTATACGATACCTCACCCAAGTCAGCAGGTGGTTTTTAACTAGGTGTTAGTTGCAACATGGAATCTGAAACTACGTGGGTGAACTGTCTGTGCCCCTTATACGTGAGGGCAAACAAGGGGGAAAAGGCAAACAGCATCTCAGTATTTTTATGAAAATAGTCTTGTCCTTGATGCCCCTGGAAAGGGTGTCCAGGACTCCTAGGCTCTGATGCCACAATGAGAACCATGGGATTAAATGGGAGACCCAGGGCTCCACCCCTTGGGGAAGCCCACGTTTGGGCCACTTCCCAGAGTCTGTGTCTTGGCCCCTGTTGGCCCTGAGAGGTGGTGGGTCAGGGAGGAAGCTCTGGCCACAAGTCCCATCCTCATGCTGGCTTTATTTTGATTTTGGATGCTCACAACTCTTGGGTGGTCTGGTTATCCCCATTCCAGAGACAGGAAAACTGGGGCCCAGGGGTGGTGAGCAGCTCAAGGTCACACAGTAACGAGGGCGCCTAGGACAGCTGGTGAGCGACGTGCTCACTCATAAAGAGCACTTCAGGGGATCCCTGGGTGGCTCAGCGGTTTGGCGCCTGCCTTTGGCCCAGGGTGTGATCCTGGAGTCCTGGGATCGAGTCCCACGTCAGGCTCCCGGCATGGAGCCTGCTTCTCCCTCTGCCTGTGTCTCTATCTCTCTCTCTCCCTCTGTCTACCATAAATAAATAAATAAATCTTATAAAAAAAATTAAAAAAATAATAAAGAGCACTTCGTCCAGGAGCCCAATACGTGCTGGCAGGAAGGCAGGAAGGCTCGGTAGAGATGTTCCCAAGGTGGCAGGGCTGCTCATCTGCCTGCAGGGCAGGAGCATCTGAACTCAGGGCCTGCAGGGGTCCAGGCTGGTGGGGAGGGGAGGCTGAACAGCTCGAGGCCCGCGCAGCCACCCTGTAGGAGTCCAGGGGCCGTGTGTGCGCATGTGTGTGTGATACTCACCCACCTCCTTGTCTGGGATGCAGCCCAGAGCCCTCAGCCTCAGGCAGGTATGAGAGGAGAGCTCCGGTTCACTGTGGGTTGGGACTCAGGAAATCTTGTTGGGAGAAATGGTTCTGACCGTGGGGTCAGGTGCTGGTGCTGGCAGCCTGGGGCTGGGTGCCAGGCCTGGCAGTGGGCACAGGGCCAGGAACAGTCCTTCCTTCTCCCCCCAGCGCCCCACTCACCTTCAAGGATGGCACAGCCCTAGCCCTGAGCTGCATGGCTGACTATGGGGGCCCTGTCTTCCCCTTCCTTGCCGTGGGTGGCTACAAAGGTAAGCCGGGTGGCCCCGGGGAGGCCAGCGAGGGGGTGAGATGGGGCAAGGGCAGTGGGCAGGAGGGAGGGAATAGTGATGGATTCTTGCTGCCTGGGGGTGGCCAGGCTTGGGAGGGGCACGGGGCCACAGACCTGGCACGTCTTCCAGCTTCTCCCAGCCTGCCCAGGTCCTCTGGTCTGTGCTTGGGTTCACACGTCTTGCCCTTGGCTGAAAGAGGGAAATGGGGTGGAGGGTTGGACAAGGACTTAAATATGGAAGGTTGGGGAGGGGAGCAGGGGTGAGGCTGGGGAGGAAGGGGAGCAGGGGCAAGGAAGGAGGGTGGCTGAGCATTTCTCATCCCAGGGAAGGACTACTCTGAGGCGGAGGCCTTGATTATGACCTTCTCCCTCAACAACTATGCCCCTGGGGACCCCCGGCTGGCCCAGGCTAAGCTCTGGGAGGCAGCCTTCTTGGAGGAGATGAAAGCCTTCCAGCGGCGGACAGCTGGCACTTTCCAGGTCACGTTCATGGCTGAGGTAGGCTTTGGGGTCCCTGGCTCTGCAGAGTGGGTGCCCGTGTCCCCGGCGGGCCTCCCTCTTCCTGAACAGCCCTGGGCCCGCCTGTCTGGGAGTACGGGACTCTGCAGTCTCCTGCAGGGGCTCTGGGAGCCTGTGGGTCAGCAGGGCTGGGGGGTCGTGTGTCCGCAGCGCTCCCTGGAGGATGAGATTAACCGCACAACGGCGGAGGACCTGCCCGTCTTCGGAGTCAGCTACATCATCATCTTCTTGTACATCACCCTGGCGCTGGGCAGCTACTCCAGCTGGCGCCGGGTGCCGGTGAGAACCGCCAGAGGCACAGGGGGGTGGCCTGGCCTGGCAGGACATCCGGAACCCTCCCCTCAGTGGCTCCCCAAGGGGTTATGCTTCCTGGAAGCAGCCTGCTCTCAGAGAAGCCCCCCCGGAGCAGGCGCAGAGCTCACCTGTAGAATGTCCCACTTGTAGAGCTGACCTGTAGGCGCCGAGCTTGCCCGCCCTTCCGTAGCCAGGAGGCTGAGCCTGGTCCCGTTGCAGGTGGACTCCAAGGTCACGCTGGGCCTGGGCGGGGTGGCGGTGGTGCTGGGAGCAGTGACAGCGGCCATGGGCTTCTTCTCCTACCTCGGCGTGCCGTCCTCCCTGGTGATCCTTCAGGTGGTGCCTTTCCTGGTGCTGGCCGTGGGCGCTGACAACATCTTCATCTTTGTTCTGGAGTACCAGGTGAGAGGGGGGCTCTCCTCCCAGCCCAGGTGCTGCCCTGCAGTGAGTTGCCACACCTCCTCCTCCGGGCCCGCCCTGCCCCACAGTCCAGGCTGATCTAGCCTCTCCCATTGGTGGCCATTGAGGGACCCAGGGACATGTCTGAACAAGCCTGCTACGGACACCCCAAAATGCACCAAGTGTGTCTCTGGGCCAGACCCCACAAAGTAGACAAGGCGGAGACCAGAGGCTTTGTGGGGGGGTCTGCTCCTGATGGGAGAGTGGGAGCGCGTGCCCGCTCCCCGCTCCCTGCTCCTGGCTGGCTCTGCATGCTGTCCCTGACCTCCTGCAGAGGCTGCCCCGGAGGCCGGGAGAGCGGCGGGAGGCCCACATCGGCCGAGCGCTGGGCAGTGTGGCCCCTAGCATGTTGCTCTGCAGCCTGTCCGAGGCCATCTGCTTCTTTCTAGGTGAGCCTGGGCCGGAGGGCGGGGGCACTGCCTGTGGGTGGCCCCCTTCCTGCCAGGCCCTGATTCTCACTCCTGCGTCCCCCAGGGGCCCTGACCCCTATGCCCGCTGTGAAGACCTTTGCCCTGACCTCGGGCTTTGCCATCGTCCTGGACTTCCTGCTGCAGGTGTCAGCCTTCGTGGCTCTGCTTTCTCTGGACAGCAGGAGGCAGGAGGTAGGGGGGGGCAGGGACCCCAGGCCTCACCTCCTGGGGAGGGGGGGCTTTATGTCCTGGAGCAGGCTCAGAGAGCGGGGCTGGGTGCAGGGGCAGTGTGCCTGTGGGCCACGTAGAAAAGTCATTGTGTCTTGGTGATTTATGGGAATATAAACAAACCTGTGAAGTGCAAAAAGGCCAAGGAAAAAATGTAAGAGAGATGTTGGCAGGGGGCTGTCATTTATGCGACAGCGCAAAGTTTAGAGGTGTTGGATCAAGATAGAAAAGAAACCCAAACAGCGCAGCACCCGGCGCGTCCCTGGGAGCTGCTTGGGGACCACCTGCAGGGGCTGCCTCCCCCCAGGCCTCCCGCTTGGACGTCTGCTGCTGCGTGAGCGCCCCAAAGCTGCCGGCACCCGGTCAGAGCGAGGGACTCCTGCTCCGAGTCTTCCGCAAGTTCTACGTCCCAGTCCTGCTGCACCGGGTGACACGGGCGGTGGTGGTGAGTGGGGCTGGAGGCCGGGGTGGGTGGGCCTGGGGGGGTGTGTGGGGGCTAGTGGGGCTGCGGGAGCGGGCTGCGTGGCAGGTGGGGCTGGGGGCGCGCGGGGGGGGGGTGGCGCGGCCGGCGGAGGCAGGGCAGGGCAGGGGCGGGGCGGGGTGGGAGGGTCTGCTCAGCCTCCCCCCCAACCCGCGCCTTAGTGACCCTGCCCCGCCCTCCTCAGCTGCTGCTGTTCACCGGCCTCTTCGGGGTGGGGCTCTACTTCATGTGCCACATCCGCGTGGGATTGGATCAGGAGCTGGCCCTGCCCAAGGTGAGGCGCACCCCGCCACCTCCGCTCGCTGGCCGCGCTCCCCTGGGTCCGGGAGGGTCAGCGACCCCGCGCGGGGCAGGGCCGGGCCAGGGGCTGCTCCCTCGAGAACCGGGGACAGCAGCGACTCGGCACCCGAGGGACCAGGCGCAGGGGTGGCCGCGGGCTGCGGGCCTGGTGGGGGCGGGGGGGAGCGGGCGCGCAGGCGGAGCGAGCGGCCGCCCTGGGCCTGCCCGGAACTGGGCACGCCGCGTCCTCAGGCCAGTGCTCTGCAGCGCCGGCGTCGGGGCCCAGGCCCCCCAGCAGGGTCAGGGCGCCAGGGGTCTGAGAGCCTCGTGGGTGGAAGACGGCTGTGAGGGGTCCGGGCACCCGTAGTATCGGAGGCGGGTGGAGGTGAGGGTGCCCCACCTGCCAGAACACCCCCTGCTCCCCTCCCCCCCCAGCACTGGAGCCCCACACTGTCCTGTGTGCGGGCGTCTGCTCAGCATCACCTGTGCGGGTCCCGCCAGGCCGAGGGGTTCATACTACGCGAGCGCACGCATACACACCCCACCTGGTTTACACATTGCTTGCCTGCTGCGGACCAGGATTCCCTTTTTCTGAGAGGTTGGGAATGAGGCTGCCTTGAACGTGGGTGCACAGCGACTTCTTCTGAAACCTGCTTCCTTTGGGTGTGTTCCCAGAGGTAGAACTGCTGGATTGCAGGATGATTCTTTCCTATTTTAATTGTTTTGAGGAGCCACCAGACTGCTTGCCGTGAAGCTGTCCTATTTCGCATTCCCTGCAGAGGTGCACCAGGGCTCTGGTGTCTCCACATCAACACTTGTTTCTGGCTTTTTCTTTTTTCTCTGTTTTGATGGCAGCCATCCCCACAGGTGTGAAGGGGCATCTCTGTGCAGTGTTGACCTGCTTTGCCTGATAAGTGGCAATGCTGAGCATCTTTCCATGTGCTCACTACCCATTGGTGGGTCTTTGAAGAAAGGGCTGGTCAAGTCTTTTGCTTATTTCTGAAACAACTTGTTTGTTGTGGTTTGGTTTCTTTGTGAATTTTGGGAGTTCTCTAGATATTCTGGGTATTAATCCCTTATCAGGTACATGATGCAAATGTTTTCTGCATTTCTATTGGTTGCCTGTCCTTTTTTTTTTTTAAGATATTGTTTATTTATTTGATAGAGAGCAAGAGCACAAGCAGGGGGAGGGGCAGAGGCAGAGGGAGAAGCAGACTCCCTGCTGAGCAGGGAGCCTGATGTGGGACTTGATTCCAGGACTCTGCGATCATGACCTGAACTGAAGGCAGATGCTTAACTGACTCAGCCACCCAGGTGCCCCAGAGCGTGTGACTCTTGATCTTGGGGTCATGAGTTCAGGCCCCATATTGGGTGTGGCAATGACTTAAAAATAGTCTTCAAAAAAATTTATTTTTCAAAAAGTCCAATTTGCCTATTTTTCTTTTTGTTAACTGAGCTTTTGGTGTCATTCAAGAAATAATTACCAAATCCAGTATCCTGAAGTTTTTCCCGTTTTCCTCTAAGGGTTTCACAAATTCAGCTCTTCAGTGTTGGATCCACTTTGAGTTAAGTTTGTACATAGTCATGTATTTTTTTCTTTCTTCCTTTCTCTTCTTTTTTTCTTTGTTCCTTCCTTCCTCTCCTTCCTTCCTTCCTTCCTTCCTTCCTTCCTTCCTTCCTTCCTTCCTTCCTTCCTTCCTTCCTTCCATAGGCTCCATTCTCAGCGTGGAGCCCAGCCTAGTGCAGGTCTTTTAGTGGTAAGTTTTGAAATCAGGAAATGTGAGTCCTCCAGTTGTTTTTTTAAAGATTTATTTTGTTTGAGAGAGATAAAGAGATAGAGATAGAGCAAGCATGTGTGCAAGAGCAGGGGAGGGGTAGAGGGAAATACCCTAAGCTGGCTCCACACTGAGTGCAGAGTGCAGTGTTGGACTTAATCTCTCAGCCCTGAGATCATGAGCTGAATCAAAACCAGGAGTTGGTGGGGATCCCTGGGTGGCTGGGGATCCCTGGGTGGCTCAGCGGTTTGGCGCCTGCCTTTGACTCAGGACGCAATCCTGGAGACCCGGATTGAGTCCCATGTCGGGCTCCCTGCGTGGAGCCTGCTTCTCCCTCTGCCTGTGTCTCTGCCTCTCTGTCTCTCTCCCTCTCTATGTCTATCATGAATAAATAAATCTTTTAAAAAAAGATTAAAAAAACAAAAAAAAAACAGAAGTTGGATGCTTAATGGACTGAGCCACCGAGGCGCCCCCCAAGTCCTCCAAATTTATACTTTTATTTATTTATGTATTTATTTATTTATTTATAGATTTTATTTATTTATTCATGAGAGACAGAGAGCGAGAGCGAGAGCGAGAGAGAGAGAGAGAGAGGCAGAGACACAGGCAGAGGGAGAAACAGGCTCCATGCAGGGAGCCCAATGCGGGTCTCGATCCTGGGACTCCAGGATCACGCCCCGGGGTGAAGGCAGTAATAAACCACTGAGCCACCCAGGCTGCCCCTTATTCTTCTTTTAAAGAATGTTTTGGCTATTTGGAGTCCCTTGTGAATTTTAAGATGGATTTTTCTATATCTGCAAGAAACGCCATTGGGATCTTAACAGGATTGCACTGAATCTGGAGACTTTCTAGCAGCCTGTACGATATTCAGTCTTCCAGCCCATAAACGCAGATGTCTTCCCACTTACCTGTGTCTTTAATTTCTTTCGGCAATGCTGCCTGGTTGACAGAGTGCAGGTCTTTCACCCCTTGGGTGACATTAATTTCTAAGTACTTTATTATTTTATGCTGCAGTCCCTGGACATTCCCTAGTTCCCTCTTTGGGTTATTCACGATTCATGTATAGAAAGACCAAAAAAAAAAAAAAAAAGACCACTGATTTCTGTGCATTGATCTTGTAACTTGCAACCTTGCTGAATTTATTTACTAGTTTTAAGGGGCTTGGGGTACACTTTTGGAGTTTCATGTACAGAATGTCATGTAACCTACGGCCAGAATTTTTCATGTAGTCCTTGTACTTTTCAGCTCCAAAATTTCCTTCTGGGTTCTGTTTCATATTTTCTATTTGTTCATCATTCCATTTTGTTCACACTTTTCTTTTCTTGGTTTTGTCCAAATCTTATTTTAGCTTTTCGAGCATCCCTAAGACAGGCATTTTTTTAAATTTATTTTATGATAGTCACAGAGAGAGAGAGAGAGAGAGAGAGGCAGAGACATAGACAGAGGGAGAAGCAGGCTCCATGCACTGGGAGCCTGACGTGGGATTTGATCCCGGGTCTCCAGAATCACGCCCTGGGCCAAAGGCAGGCGCCAAACCGCTGCGCCACCCAGGGATCCCTAAGACAGGCATTTTAAAGTTTCCGTCTGATGCGTCCACCGTGTGGTCTTTCTCGAGGAGGTCATCTGTTGATAAATGTTGGTTCCTAAGTATGGGCCCTACTTTCCTGATTGTGTGTCTATGATGTTTGTTGAAAAATGGATAGTTGAGTCATTTTTTTAAAAGATTTTATTTATATATTCAAGACAGACAGAGAGAGAGAGAGAGAGAGAGATGCAGAGACACAAGCAGAGGGAGAAGCAGGCTCCATGCAGGGAGCCTGATGTGGGACTCGATCCCGGGTCTCTAGGATCATACCCCGGGCTGAAGGCAGCGCCAAACCGCTGAGCCATCAGGGCTGCCCACAGTTAAGTCTTATATGGTGATTCTAAAGATCAGATTCTCCCCCTTCCCTGAGATATGCTTTTAAAAAAAAGTGGCTGTTGCTGGTGTTTCTGTCCTGGAGATTAGCCTGGGGTACAGAAGGATAGTCTTACCAGGTCATTTCTGAGCCCAAGCCTTTCCCTGGTAACGGGAGGTAACTTCTCTTGTATTTGTGATTGCCTTTGAATGTCCCATTCCTGAAACATCTGGCTGCCAAAAGGGGAAAAAGGGAAAACACAAAGAGAAAAATTAATAAACTGGTCACTGGTCACTTAAAGCTCTCAGCAGATGTGCCAGGCTGAGGCCAGGGAGCTTATGGCAGCAGCCCGACTGTACCAGTGAGGCTGGAGCAGCGGTCAGCTATCAGAATGCAAATCCGTGATCTTTAGGGGCTTGGGGTTCCCGTGTTCCATGCTGGACCCCTCAAGCTGGGTGCAAAGTGCCTGCGTGTGGCCAGGTAGCTGCTGCAATGCTGAGAGCTGAAGGCAGGTGACGTCGAGCACAATTCGCCTTCCAGACTTTTCCCTGGGAGCTGCGAGCCCTCAGCAGAGCCTGTGGCTGCACACCGTCTCTCTCAGACAGGTGCTGCCAGCAGAGTGGTGTCCAGGTGGGGGATGGATTCCTGGTATCTTCGACTCCACTTTCTCTCACACCACTCCCAGGCTGTATGTTTTAGAAGAAGCGAACAGATCATGCAGCTGCCTGATACACAGCCTCGAGGGTGTGCACGTGGGTGTTTACACGTGGGCATGCGTGTGGGCTTTGGTCACACACCAGCTTGTTAGGCTGTCGCTGCAGCAAAATGGGGATAATGGGAAGGGGCAACGTTACATGTACATGAATGTGTGTGTGTGTGTAAGAGAGAGAATGTTCATGCATGTTGGAACCTGGTGTTCTGTGCTTATACCTACATGCATGTGCTCTGTGGGTGTACCTGTTATCACACCAGGATGTATGTACCTCTGAGTATGCACTTCTGTGAGCCTGTGCATGTACTTCTGTGATTGTGCACCTCTGTGTGTGCATCTCTGTGAATGTGCATGTAACTTTGTGTGTGTGCACCTCTGTCATTGTGCACCTCTGTGGGTGTGCATCCACCTCTGTGAATGCGCACCTCTGTGGGTGTGTGTGTACATCTGTGAGTGTGCACCTCCATGGATGTGTGTGCATCTCTGTGAGTGCGCAGCTCCGTGGGTGTGGGTGCACCTCTGTGAGTGAGCGTGCACCTCCGTGTGTGCACCTCTGTGTGTATGCACGTCTGTGGGTGTGTACCTCGGTGAGTGTGTGCGCACCTCCATGGGTGAGTGTACACCTCTGTGAGTGTGCACCTCTGTGAGTGTGCACCCCCAGGACCATATGTGCACCTCCATGAGCATGTGTGCATCTCTGTGAGTGAGTGTGCACCTCTGTAGGTGTGCGTGCACCCTCATGAGTATGCATGCATCTCTGAGTGTGCACCCCATGAGTGCGTATGCACCTCCGTGTATGTGCACATCCATGAGTGTGTGTGCAGCTCCGTGAGTGTGCACCCCCGTGAGCACAAGCCAGGGTGAGCCCCTCAGGAGGAGTCTGGCCCCAACCTCAGTGACTGCCTCTTGTTCCAGGACTCATACCTGCTGGACTATTTCTTCTTCCTGAACCGCTACTTTGAGGTGGGGGCTCCCGTCTACTTTGTCACCACGGGAGGCTACAACTTCTCCAGCGAGGCGGGCATGAATGCTGTGTGCTCCAGTGCCGGGTGCGACAGTTACTCCTTAACCCAGAAGATCCAGTATGCCACCGAGTTCCCCGAGGAGTAAGTGCCCGGCCCAGCCCTGTGTGCCCCCAGCCCCCCTTCCTGGCTGGCTCGACCCTACCCAGCTGCCCTCCTCCTGCCATGGGCTTGGGGGGTAGGCCACCTGGTTCGGTGCCCCCATCCCCAGCCTCCTCTCCCCTGCCCCTCAGGTCTTACCTGGCTATCCCTGCCTCCTCCTGGGTGGATGACTTCATCGACTGGCTGACCCCGTCCTCCTGCTGCCGCCTTTATGCCTTTGGTGCTAATAAGGACAAATTCTGCCCTTCGACTGTCAGTGAGTGCCAGGCCTCTGGGAGCTCCCACCTACCACAGCTTGGGGAAGCTGAGGCAGGAGGCAGGGGCATGGCTAGGCCCTCTTTGTTCCTCCTGTGATCTCTCAGGGCAGTGAGGGTACAGGCACGGGCTGGGAGAACATGTGTGGGTTCCCACCCCCTGAGCTGTGATCTTGGCTTGCTGACGCTCATGGGTGGTGGTGGGGAGAGCTGAGCTCAGCCTGTGGCTCTGCCCCCCCCATAGCTGCATTTGTAGGTGTAGTGGGAAGGCCCAAGGGTGTCGCTTCTTTGCCCCCCACGTTGCTTCATCATCTACCATAGTTGCTGGCAGTTTCCATGACCAAGAGGGGGAGTCCTCCTACAGAGACAAGTGCAAACACCTCCAGAGCACACCTGCCACACATGTTTCAGTGGTGGAAGTGCCTGGGGACCCAGATGGGAATGGAGTGGAAGGGGCTAGAGAGCAGCAGCGCCGGCCCTGGGTGTGGCACTGCCCGGAGCCCCCCCTCTCTTTGCAGACTCCCTAGCCTGCTTGAAGAACTGCGTGAACTTCACACTGGGCCCTGTCCGGCCATCCGTGGACCAGTTCCACAAGTACCTTCCCTGGTTCCTGAGTGACCCGCCCAACATCAAGTGTCCCAAAGGGTAAGCCTGGGGTGGGTGGGGAGCACAGCCACTTGGGTGCTGGAGTGCGGAGCGCAGACCATCGCGAGGATGGCTGTGGTCTCTGATGAAGCTTTTGCACTGGCCTCCTTGCAGTGGGCTGGCAGCGTACAACACCTCCGTGCATTTGGGATCTGATGGCCAGGTTTTAGGTAAGCATTGCCTGAACCAGCAGCCCTGAGGGGTCACCAGCAGCCCCGGGGGAGAACCTCTCAATCTGCAAACTTCTCCCCTTCCTTCTTCATGGGGGACTCCTACCTGCCCTGTCCTCAGAGGTGTGTTATGCAGCAACCCCTCCCCAAATCCTCAGTCAGGGAGACGTTCCCAGACTCTTCCAGAGGTGGTACCACCCTGAGGAGTCACTCACACTTCTTTCTCACATTCACCAATTCCTCACCATGTGGAGCTGGCTACATGGATGACTATTGCCCCTGCCCGGGGTCACCCTGCCCCGCTTCTGGATCTCCCCTCTGGGAAGATGCACATGGGAAGACTAATTGAATTAATTTGAAAACTATGATGCATGTTTTGAAAGCCTAGAGCACAGCATTTGGCTTTATCTGGGAGTTGTCTTTAGGTGCAGCCATCAGAGGCAGGAGGAGTGGAGGCTCAAGGTGGGATGAGGGTGGGGGTGGGAGTAGGAGCCACTGTAGAGCTGTGGGCGAGACCCCAGCTCTGCGCCCCTTGCTCATGATATAAGACTATACCACTGTGGGGGCTGCCGAGCCCTGATGGCAGCAGGTATGCCCCAGGGTGTGAGGGCGCCCACAGCGGGGCCCTGACCTTGTCCTTCCTCCACCCCCGGCTGGCGTAGCCTCCCGGTTCATGGCCTACCACAAGCCGCTGCGGAACTCGGAGGATTACACTGAGGCCCTGCGGGTGTCACGGGCGCTGGCGGCCAACATCACGGCCCAGCTGCGGCAGGTGCCGGGCACCGACCCGGCCTTCGAGGTCTTCCCCTACACGTGAGTCCCAGCGGCGGTGGGGGCAGGGAGGGTCCCCTAGAAGGTGGCCACCACATGCCGCAGGGCTGATGGCGCTCCGCCCCACAGGATCACCAACGTGTTCTACGAGCAGTACCTGAGTGTGGTCCCCGAGGGCCTCTTCATGCTCGCCATCTGCCTGCTGCCCACCTTCGTAGTCTGCTGCCTGCTGCTGGGCATGGACCTACGCTCCGGCCTCCTCAACCTGTTCTCCATCATCATGATCCTCGTGGACACCGTGGGCTTCATGGCCCTGTGGGGCATCAGCTACAATGCCGTGTCGCTCATTAACCTGGTCACGGTAAGCTGCCCTCCACCTTGCAGAGACCCCGCACCCCCACTCTTGCTCGCCTAATGCCCCTCTCTGCCCCAGGCGGTGGGCATCTCCGTGGAGTTCGTGTCCCACATCACCCGCTCCTTTGCAGTCAGCACCCGGCCCACCCGGCTGGAGAGGGCCAAGGAGGCCACCATCTCCATGGGCAGCGCAGTGAGTACGCCCGCCAGCCCCTGCGCCCCCTGCTTGCTACCCTGGGCCTGGCCTCACACCCGCCTGTGACCCTGCAGGTGTTTGCTGGCGTGGCCATGACCAACCTACCGGGCATCCTCGTCCTGGGCCTGGCCAAGGCGCAGCTCATCCAGATCTTCTTCTTCCGCCTCAACCTCCTCATCACCGTGCTGGGTCTGCTGCATGGCCTGGTCTTCCTGCCAGTGGTCCTCAGCTACCTCGGTGAGAGGCCGGGTGCCTGAGTGCCCACCGGCCAGGGCCTCCCACACCCCCGCACTCCTGCACCCAGTGGTCCCAGCCCAGCAGGGCCCGTTCACATAGCAGCCTGCCCCCTGTACCCCTGTACCTCTGCACCCAGCCATCCCAGGTCAGCAGGCCCCCTGCCCTGCAGTCAGCCTCTCTGATACAGTGGGCCCTCCCTTCCTATTCCCCTCCACCACCACCCCTGCCCCTCTGTTTCCAGATCAGATCCCCTGCTGCCTGAGATCTCCTCTCTCCTTTCTTCCAAAACGTCCTGTGGCAGCACCTGGCAGGCCCTCCTTGCTGAGAGAAGCGGTCCCTCATTCCATTGACAGACCAGGGCAGGGAGGACCCTCCTGCTTAGTGCAGGCCTCCCTGACCGGGGTCCTCTGTGGTTGTTCTCCTGCAGGGCCTGATATTAATGCAGCTCTCGTGCTGGACCAGAAGAAGACAGAAGAGGCCGTCGGGGCCCCTGCCCACCTGGTCCCAACATCCATGGCCAGCAGCACCTATGTCAACTACGGCTTCCAACATTCCGCCAACGGTGTAGTGGGCGACAGTTCTCTGCCCCGCAGTGGACCAGACTTCTGATGAAGCTGGAGCCCCTGTGCTGGCTCCCCAGCCCTGGGCCCGGGGACCACTCAGGCTCCCTTGTGGGGGCCCCTCGACCCGTCCTCCCACTCAGGGTATGGGAGAGGCTGTCCCCGTGGGAGTGCTTGTGCTGGGACATTCTGCAGCCACCAGGGTGCATCCATGAGGACACGACTATGCTGAAGGTGGCACATGGCAGTGTGAATGTGATCTGTTCCTGACCTGTCTCTTGGAGTTGGCATGTCTTCCTCGTGCAAGTTTTTAAACCTAAATTCCCTGTATCTATATGTAAACAATATATAGTAGTATTTCACATTTTGAAAAGTTTCATAAATGGTATCACTTGATGAATGCCATACACGTTAGATTCATTCACCTGGGTCCCTGTAGACCTCGCCCAGTCGCCGCGATGGCCCCACTGTATCCCACTGCGTGAGTGGACACAGCATTTCTGTCCTTTCCCCTGCTGGTGGGCACATTGTTCCCAACTACTTTTCTACTGTAGCTCCATAATCACTTATGTGGAATTCCCAAATCTCTGAAAATCTAGTTTGTCTTCTTTTTCTTTTGTACGTTTGGGAAAAACTCATTTGGTGCCAAAAACTGGCCAGACAAGATACGTCTATTTATACTCTTTATGAATGGGGTACGTAGACCCCACGCTCTGCTTAATGTAAGTGGTCAGATATACTGGCACATGGGTGAGTCTGATTATCGCTTATGTGTGGCTACAAGCCCTGATGAAGCATATTATCTAAGGCAGGGTAAACATTACTTTTCTAAAAACCTGTAGGATTTCAGCTATAGAGCATGAACCTCTATGAGGCCGAGCATGTGTTTGCATATCTCCTGGTGTATGTGTGGGAGGGTTACCTGGAGGCAGTGTGGCTGAGGTCCTGTCTGGATACAGACAAAGCCTCCCCACAAAGCTGCTGCCCTATTCACGCTCCCACCACTACTCCTCCCTGGACGGACAACACGGTACATCCCACCTGCTCTTTGGGGGAAAGGGTAGGATTACGGATGATTATCATTTTTAAGATACATTTATAAAAAGAAAACTCTAACATTTTAGAATAGTTTTAGATTAACATAAAAATTGCAAAGATAATACCGGGAGTTCTCATATACCTCACACCCAGTTTACCCAATTAACATATTATGTTTGTATAGCACATTCATCATCGCACAATTACTAAACCAGTATCATAATTACAACTAAAGTCCATGCTTTATTTAGATTTCCTTAGAGTTTACCTGGTGTCCCCTTTTCTGCCCCAGATCCCATCCAGGAAAGCATGTGACATTAGTTGTTATGTCTATGTAGGCTCTTGGCTGTGAGAGTTTGTCAGACTTTCCTTGTTTACCATGGCCGTGACGATTTCCAGGAGACTGGTCGGGCAGTAGTAGTTTTGTAGAATATCCCTCAAATGGTATTGTCTGGTGTTTGTCTCCAGTTAGGAGACTGAGGCTGTGGGTTTCTGGCCGAGAGATGGCAAAGGTGAGGCCCCTTCTCAGCAGATCACATAAAGGGTGCAGGCTATCACCGTGACTTCCCACTGCTGGCACCGACTCCTGTTGCCCTGCGAGGTCGTGTCTGTCCCGGGCCCTTCCCCTTCCCGTGCTGTCCATGCTGTGCTGTTTGGAGGGAAGCCACGATGCGCACCCTCTACTAGGGCAGTGGGGAGTTATGTTCCACTTCCTGAAGGGTGGAGTTTTTACATAAATTTTTTAAGGCTTTATTTATTCATGAAAGACAGAGAGAGAGAAAGAGAGAGAGAGGCGCAGAGACACAGGCAGAGGGAGAAGCAGACTCCATGCAAGGAGCCCGATGCGGGACTCGATCCTGGGACTCCAGGATCACACCCTGGGCCAAAGGCAGGCACTAAACTGCTGAGCCACCCAGCGATCCCCTGGAACTTACATAAGTTATTCAGAATTCCTCCAAATAGGACAGGTGTCTATTTTCCTCCATGTATTTATTTACTCAGTCTGCTGTGTGGACTCATGGCTATCCTTTTTGTAGTTTGGGTTCTGATGTGAAACTACTTCATTTTGTTGGTCAGATTGTTCTCTCTTGGGCCATTAGGAGCTCTTTCTCTTGGATCTTCTGTCCCTTTGCCATACTCCCGTCATGGAGGGGTTTTCCTGTTTTCCCTGCTCCCTGCTCTACAAGTTGGTCCAGGCTCAACTTGTATATTTTCTGCCCCCTTTCTAGAATCAGCCATTTCTCCAAAGAGTCCTGGTGCTTCAAGTGGAGATGGGATTCGAACCCAGGACCCACATGCACTTTGCTGCTGAGACGTGGTTGCTCTAGAAAATATGCGTGTATAAACTAACACACGTGTGTGCACAGTTCTATGAATATTCCTGCATGTAGCCATCTGTAGCTAGATTAAGCTAAGCTTAGGTTCATGCTGATGCCTCCAGCTCTAATTCATCAGCACATGGATCATTCTAGACTCCTCTCTGGCTTCTCTGTAACTTCCCATGCCGGGAGTGAGAAGCCTTACTCCAGCACCCACACAATTGCTTAATTACTTACACTCTAGGTGTGTAGTATTTTCAGAGATGATAGCCCCCCCCTCCCCGGGAAACATGTTTAGGATGAAGCGAAACATGTTTAGGATGAAGCGTCTCTTTTTAGCAACTTTTTCCTTTAGTCTCAGACTCCATTCATTTCCAGAGTTACTTAGCTCAGCATCTTTTTTCTACCATCTACAGTTAGGTTGCTTCGTACATTTGTAATATGGTTTGTTTGGCCATATTCTGCATTCCAGTCTGATGTTAGGAAATCACGCATGTAAAAGATCCACTCAAAGTGCATTACAGACTGAGAGATATCAATGTGACGATTAGGAAACATTTATTTATGTTTCAGATTCCATATTACAGCTGTTAACTACCACACGTTCAATTTTGGCCTCAAAAAATGATGCTTGGGGATCCCTGGGTGGCGCAGCGGTTTCGCGCCTGACTTTGGCCCAGGGCACGATCCTGGAGATCCGGGATCGAATCCCACGTCGGGCTCCTGGTGCGTGGAGCCTGCTTCTCCCTCTGCCTGTGTCTCTGCCTCTCTCTCTCTCTCTCTCTCTGTGACTATCATAAATTTAAAAAAAAAAATGATGCTTGTAGGGCAGCCCTGGTGGCGCAGCAGTTTAGCGCCGCCTTCGGCCCAGGGTGTGATCCTGGAGACCCGGGATCGAGTCCCATGTCAGGCTCCCTGCATGGAGCCTGCTTCTCCCTCTGCCTGTGTCTCTGCCTCTCTCTCTGTGTCTCTCGTGAATAAACAAATAAAATCTTAAAAAAAAATGCTTGTATTTGAAAAGACAAAACACTCCTCTCATTTCCAACTCCAATCTGCATAAGACTGGGTTTCTTCATATGTTTCGATCAAAACGTATTGCAATGCAGTGAAAGCCAAAGGTGGGAGACTTGCTGTTTTCTATTAAGCCCAACACTAAAGACATTTGCGAAAAATGTAAAGCTATGCTACTCTTCTGGGTAAACTTCATTGCTTTGAAGAACATTATTTCTTCATAAAAATGTTAATGCGTAATGTGCTTGTGTATTTTTTTAAAAAAATGAATAAAAAAAATGAATAAAAAATTTTAAATTCTGAGTTTTAACATCCGATATGCTAACTCTAAGAAGGGCGCACCTAAAGGGCCTTTGGAGTCTTCAGTGAGCGTCAGGAAGGTGTGACGTCACTGCCCTAGGGCAATTCATCCGGGTCTAACTCCATCTAAGGTTAATTGGAGCCCATGGACGGCGACGATGTACGCTCCTTTGCAGATCCTAGTTGCGGAGAGCAGCCAGCTGCGTACCCAACCTAGCAACCTCACTGTGGTTTCAAGGTCCTAGGCACCCAGCTCCTCCAGGGCTCTCAGAACCAGGGCATTGCCGCTGACGTCACTCACTCTGCTGCCCGAGGGCAGCTCCGGCCGGGCCCGTCGTGCCCCCGAGCCAGCGTAGTGTCTGCAGCCTCCGGCAAGTTGCACTGGGCGGCCGAGGGCGTCACGTGAGCGCGGCGCGCGCAGGTGGACAAGTCACACCCGCCTACACGCGTGCATCCCCAAGCCCCGAGCTGGTGGCGCAGCTCTAGCCACCCAGCCCTCTGCGCCCTCCGCGCCCTCCGCGCCCCCCAGGCGGGCCCTCTCCCCACCGAGGGGCGGTGCTCCGCCACCACGTGACAACGGGGCCCACGTGACGCGGCCCGAGCCACACCCCTTCCGCCCGTCTCTAACATGGCCGCTGGGCGCTCTCGGTCTCGCAGGCGCGGGCTTTCTGGCGCCTAGGAGCCACGTCGGGGCCCACGTGTGGTCCTCCGCGAGGCTGCCCGGGGAAGCCGGTCGGGCGGCGGGGGCGAGGCTCGCGGCAGGGTCGCCCCGGCGCCCACGGCCCGGCCCCGATAGCCGGGGGCCGGGCGGGCGCAGACCGGAAGTTGCGCCGGCGGCGGAGCCGTTACCGCAGCGTGCCGGAAGTGGCCGTGGGCCGGCGTCCGGGCCGCGCCCGCAGTGAGCAGCGTCCCTGCGGCCGGCGACGCCATGGAGCCTGGGGCGGCCGAACTGTACGACCAGGCCCTGCTGGGCATCCTGCAGCACGTGGGCAACGTCCAGGACTTCCTGCGCGTGCTCTTCGGTTTTCTCTACCGCAAGACCGACTTCTACCGCCTGCTGCGCCACCCGTCCGACCGCATGGGCTTCCCGCCCGGGGCGGCGCAGGCCCTGGTGCTGCAGGTAGCGCGCGGCGGGCTGGCTGGCGGCCCTGGCCCGGGGGCGGGGGAGCCCGCCGCTCCCGGCCTCAGTTTACCCCTCGGGCTCCTGTCCGGCCCCGCCTCCCGCGCGCCGGCCTGTCGTGCGGGAGCGGCGGGCGCGCGGCCGGGGGGGTGTGGGCGGGGGGCGGGAGGGGGGCGCCGGGAGAGCGCGCGAGTCCGGGCCGCAGCGGTGAGCAGGTGTTTCCGGCCTGTGTGTGCGTCGTCAGCCACCGCCCGCAGGCCCGAGCCCCCGCCCCCGCGCCCCCGCCCCTCCGACCCCGAGCCCCCGCGGCGGGCCTCGCTCGGCTCTCGTCTCCCCTTGCGCGGTGCTCGCTGCGGTCCAGGCGGGGACGGAGCCGCGCAGGCAGGCCCGCGGGAGGACAGGGCTGTTTGCGGGCAGCGACTTAGAGGCGGTTTGGGAGTCGCAGAGACGTGGTTGAGGGCAGGTGGGGCCGAGCTGGCAGGAACCTGAGAAGACGGAGCTGCTGGCGGCCCTCCCGCAGTCTGCGGTGCGCTGGCAGATGGCGTCCCCTGAAGTCAGGCTGGGCGCTGCGGGCGGGTCGGGTGTCCTGATCCTCAGTGCTTGTGTGCAGACGCGTGAGCTCGGGGTTTCAGTGGCCAGCAGTGCCGTCTGGGTGGCCGGGAAGCTGCGGGTTGGTTGCCCGCGGGCCCTTAGGGAGGTCTCGGTGACGTAGAGCTTGTGCAGCCCAGCGTGGCCGGCGAGCTGCTTTCTCAGCAGGGTCGGGTGAAATCACCAAAGTCCTCGCGGAGCTGGAACTCACAGCTCCCTCTTTGTGATTTCGCATCCTTGTGCTCTACTACTTAGCCCGAGGCAGGCGGGGTGGCATTAGCATGTGGGAAAGACCCAGAGGAGCAGAAAGAACCGTCACGGAGCACCTACCAGGCGCTAGTCCTCACCGACCTGAACGGTTGGTGTCTGCCCTCGTTTTACGGTCGGGGCGGTACCAGCGTGTAGAACACCTGTTACTTCCCAGACTGGATGGCCAGTTTAACCAGGGGAGTGGCAGCAAGGAGAGGGATGGATGGGAGAGGACCCGGGCGATTGGAATAAGGATGAGCGGTACCTGCACTGTTCGCTGAGTTGAGGAAGAAGAGCGTAGTTTTAGACAAGTTAGAATTTCAGGCCAAGCGTTAAGGGGCGGGAGAGGAGGAACCAGGGTGGTTTAAGAGCAGCACCTTGGGGGACAGTCCCAGTGGACAGATGGAGAAGCATGGGGTTGCATGCGTGCTGGGGGGTGAGGGGAGTGGCGAGGGCAGCAAGTTGCACAGAAATCCAGGGGTTGCTTTCCAGCCTTTCTGACGTTGATTCCCAACAGCCTGCGCTGCCCAGGGACCTTTAAGAAAGCAGACACGCCCCAGGTATTTTGTTGGGCGGTTGAGGGCGCGTCCTGGGAGCTGTGGTTCTGTGCACAGGGGCATTTGGCAGGAGGCTTGCAAAGGCAGGGTCAGCATTGGGCAGGGGCATGTTATGCATGGGCCACGAAGATGCCGAGTCACCCTGAGAGACTCGCTGTGGCACTGTGGCTTAGGTCGTTTGCCTCCCAGGAGTTTTCTTCTCTGCACCTCGCTTGGTAGAAGAGACTCTTCTGTGGCCACCCACCCACAGCACGTGTGTGGGGTCTCTTGCGAATGCAGGCAAAGAGGGTGGATGGGGCTGTTTGGATGCTCCACTATGGACCTTGAAGGTTTCCTGATGTTGTGGGGTTTGGAGTGTTGGTGTGGTGTGAGACTTTCCTGCTGGTTCTGAGGGCTTGGGCAGCCCAGATGCAGAGCTCTAAGGACCCTTCTTCAGTAGGAAAGAGCACTCCAGGCCAAGATGTTTTAGGATCTTTAGTTTAGAAAGACATTTCATTTGTTCCGTTTGATACCCTGTGCTCATCCTGGGTCCAGTTTGAGAAGCCTGCTTGGTGAGGCCTGTTGCCTAAGAGTCAGGAAAGCTGGCTTCATCTGGGCTCACTGAACCTGCTGGGAGAGTCCTGTTCTCTGTGTCAGCAGAGAAGGTTGACGGGAGGTCACAGCCCTGTCTGCCAGCCCCACAGTGCTGCGGTTGTAGAGTGCCAAGCCACGGGAGCCCCGAAGCAGGTGGCAGGTTAGAGGAGCTTGTGGGGGGCGGGGGCAGAGTCAGGGCACCTCGAGGAGCTCAGGCCCTGCCCACATCCAGGGAAGTCCCAGGGAGGAGGGACAGAGAAGGACCGTTCTTTTTTGTGGAGTTAGAGGATGATGAAGGTCTGGGACGTCAAGAGGACGAGTGGCTCTAAGGGCGAAGTCGGTGCTGTCACCACAGGGTGAGCAGTGTTGTTGGGTTCCTGGGAGGAGTAGAAGGGGTCTGGGATTGGTGCCTGGTTGCTGCTCTGGCATTGAGCGCTGCTGGGATGATTTCGTGGTTTCCTCTTTCACTGGCAGGGCTAAGGCCAAGTTCCTTATCTTCTCTGGACTCAGTTTTTTCTCATCCTTGAAACGCCGGTGCTGTCTCCCTCGTGGCATCTTCTTGATGGTTTGAGAGAACATAAAAGCCTTTGGATACTTCGGTAGTTAGCGATCTTCTGTTTTGTCTTTCCTGCTCTGTGCTCGGAACGTAACTGTTTGATAGAAGTGTGTGTTCTAGCCGCAGGCAATGGGGCTCCCTACCCATTACTGAATGTGTCTTTAGAGCACTTTTAGGTTCAAGGCACAACACAGGGCTAGGTACAGAGAGTTCCCCAGCACCTCTGTCTTCCCAGCCCTTGCTACTGTTAGCATCTCCACCGAGGGGGGGGGGGGTATTTGCTAAAGTCCACGAACCTGCATTCCACCCAGAACCTGCATTCCACCCATAACAGCCAGACCATAGGTGGCTTTAGGGTTCATTCTTAGTGATGGTCACTCTATGGGGCTTGGACAAACATGCTGACAGGTACCCACCACATAGAGTTTGTTTCAACTGCTGGAAAAATCTACCATGCTCCACTTATTCCTCCCAACCCCGCCCAGCACTGCTGATCTTTCTGCTGTCTCCATAGGTTTGCCTTTTCCAGAATGTCCTAGAATTGGAATCATACAGGATATGTATAGATTTTCCAATTGGTTTCTTTGATTTAGTAACATGATTTCAGTTTCCTTCAGGTCTTCTCATGGCTTAATAGTTCGGTTTTTTTGTAGCACTGAGTAATAAATGTTCCTTTGTCTGGATGGAGCACAGTGTGTTATCTGTTCTCCTGCTGATGGACACCTTGGTTGCTTCCGAGTTGTGGCATTTAGGAATAACGCTGCTGTAACACCCATGTGCAGGTTTCTATATGGATGTGTTTTCAGCTCCTTTGGGTAAATACCAGGGATTTTAAATACTGCTATTAAATAGCAGTGTTCTAGATCCAATATGACAGGTGTCTGTCCCCCCCCACCCCCAAAGAAGGCCCTCCCAGCCTTTCTGCCTCCAGCTACCGTAGATGGCCCCACCTCTTAGAGTTGTAGCTTTTCCTCATGTAGTCCCCTGGGATTACACCCTTTCTTCCAGGACTACTGCAGAGCCCCTTCCTTCCAAGGAGCCGTCTTAGATATCCAGAACCTGGCATGTGCTTCTGGATGTTCATTGTGAGGTACTCTGGCTGCTCCTGATGGCCCCTCCTGATGGCACTGTTGCTGTGCATGGGTCTGTGCCCTTGAAAGGTGCATACAAAGCGCCATGTTTCCTGTGCATTTTTTGGGTGGAAAGTCCCAGTTCTTGCTTGTATGGGTGTCACTGAGTCCCAAGAAAGGGTAAGGGCTGGTCCTTACACCACCATATTGAATTCTTAGAGGATGGGAGTTGTCATTTGGATTTTTTGTGTTCCTTGCTCATTGTAGGCATATTGTGGTTATTTGTGGAATTGTCGAGTTTTCTTTTTTTTTTTGAGACAGGTGAGCACACAAATGCGCACAAGTAGGGGGAAGGGTCAGATGGAGAGGGAGAAGCAGACTCTTTGTTGGGCAGGAAGGCTGACAACATGGGATTTGATTCCAGGACCCTGAGATCATAGCCTGAGCCAAAGGCAGGTGCTCAACTGACTGAGCCACCCAGGTACCCCAATTGCCAAGTGTTCTCAGAGCCACACCTCTCCTCCACCTGTGCAGTGTGGGAAGCTAGCAGCCTGGTTATCCTGCTTATACTTCGTGGATTCAACCGAATGCCCATTTTCCTTTCTTGAGTCTGAATTGTTGTTGCCCTTACAGCTCTTGGTACCAGAATGATGTGTTCTTTCTGTGGCAAACAAGTCTCACTGGGTGCTGTGAAAAAGACAGAAAAACCACGTAGTGATGTGTTTTTTCAAGCTCAGGGTTGCTCTCTGGGCATGTAGCTGTCATGGTTGACAAGGTTTCGCTTGCTGATCTCAGAACCCCTATTAAAGGTGGTTCATAGCTTCTGATGAGGTTGAAGTGCATTTGCGTTTTTCCACTGGGAATGTTTGTGATCTCCTGTTTTGTCATTCTTTTGTGAGCCAGATTTTACTCCTTTTCTCTGGCATGTGTGGCCCAGAGCTGGGCAGGTGAACTCATTGGTGCATTGCTGTTTGATTTTTAGGTATTCACAGCCTTCGAGCACATGGCCCGTCAGGATGATGAGAAGAGGAGGAAGGAGCTGGAGGAGAAGGCGAGGAAGGAAGCAGAGGAGGCTGTGGCAGCAGCAGCTGAGCAGGAGCCAGTCCCAGCCCCAGGCCAGGAGGTGGAGGTTGGCCCCAGCATGGACTCAGGCGGGCTGCAGGGAGCGCCAGGCCCACGGGGTGCTGTGCCTGAGGTGGCCCCCAGTTCGGGGGAGGCAGAGCCACTGGGAGCGTATGCGGGTGCTGCCGAACTTCCCAAGGAACCCTTGGCTCTTCCCAAGTAAGAATTTCTACTTTACAGTTCCTTTCTTGGCATCTGCTGGCTGGTTGGGTCCATCACTGGTTCTCGCTCGGTACCACGCCGACTCTGTTTCTGCGTTTGTTTTCGAACTGCCTTACAGTGCTTTGGTGACACTGGTTGGGAGGGCAGTTGGCTTCTGTCTTCTTTTTCTCCTTATAAGGCAAGGTAAGAAGCTGCCTGGCATACAGCCCATTCAGAGCCAGAGCCAGAATTAGAGCACTGGGTGCCCAGACTTAGGCTATCCCTGATACCTGTCCGCCTGTGTCGGGGCTTCACCTCAGGGTCTCCACTCTGTCCTTCGTTGTGGGAGCACTACTGGGACATGTACCCACGGTCCTTTCAGCGTGAAGGGTGACCGTGGGCCCAGAGTCCCCTTGGAGACTGCCATTTAGTAAATGGGTTACTTGACAAGCAGTGTTAGCTCTGGCTCAATTTCCTCTTCTGTAGCAGAGATGAGAGTGCCAGCACTTGTCTCAGGCCAGAGGTCACGAGGCTGGTGTGCAGCTGGTCTTAGACCTGCAGGGCTTCTGCCTCCTGGTGCTGCCCCCTGGTTGTACGCTCCTTCCCTGCCCCATTGGAGTGCGAAGAGCTGCTCCCTCCTTGTGTGTGAGCTGTGGCCTTGTCTGAGAGGCAGCGTGATGGTCCCGGCCTGCTCCGTTGTAGCAGAATCCATTGTCTTCCCTCTTGGATAGGCCTGCTTTCGCCTTTGACCCAGCTCTGTGTTAACCCTCTGCTGTTCTTCCCTCCATGCACGCTCTCTGACCTGTTTTAGAGTCACTGAATGTAGTTCCTAGTTAGTAAAGCAAAGCCAACAGCCTGCAGTGGCATAAAATGCAGAGTAGGGGAAAATACATTTGGTGAAGGTAAGGTGGGGCAAGACTGCAGAGTCGTAAAGGCCAAGAGACACAGAGACACAGAGTGGGGCTCAGAGACAGCTGAGCCAGCCCCATTATTGGATGGGCCAGCCCTGTTGATGCAGAGGAGCATGTCTTGAATATGGAACTCTGGTCAAGAAGGGGCAAAATAGGACCTGGGGCCTGGCTTTGGGCAGGGTCTTGGGCAGAGGACAGAGATTGGCAGTTTCTTTCAGCCCAAGGAACTTCTCCAATGTTTCCTATAGCGTAGGACTCCTGGTGAGGAGTTTTCAGCTTTCAGTTGTCTGAAAATGTCTGTAGTTGAACCTTATTTCTGAGATTGCTGTGTTTAGAGTTCCAGACAGATGCTTTTTATTCAAACTTTTAAAGACTCATTCCATTAGTCTCTTGTCTTGTGATGACAAATGAGTGTTCTTCATTCTCCTTTACGGATCCCCTTGGGTGCTTTTAAGATGTTTATCATTAGTTTCAGCGATTTGGTTATGACCTGCTGTGAGGTGGTGTGCTTATTTCTGGGCTTGGTTCTGCCTGGGTTGTGTTTATCCCCCTTTAAGACTCTCTTCATGTTTCCTTTGGAGAGGTTTTTATTGCCCTGTCTTTGTGTTTATTGTCTTTTTTTCTTTAGTGCCTAATCCTGTTTTATTTATTTATTTTTATTTTTTTAATTTATGATAGTCACAGAGAGAGAGAGAGAGAGTCAGAGACACAGGCAGAGGGAGAAGCAGGCTCCATGCACTGGGAGCCCGACGTGGGATTCGATCCCGGGTCTCCAGGATCGCGCCCTGGACCAAAGGCAGGCGCGAAACCGCTGCACCACCCAGGGATCCCCCTAATCCTGTTTTAAATTTGTCAATGTGTTTCTTACTTCCTATGATGTATTTTTCGGTTCTGCATTTCCTATTAATTTTTTTCCATGGCTTTGATTTCTACCTTCGTTGTTTCCCTCAGAGTTGTTTAATATTTTTGTAATAGTTGTTTAAAGTCTTCATTGGCTTGATTTTGGGTCATGTTTTCCTGCTTGTTTACATATCTGGTAAATTTTTTAAGAATTTTATTTATCTGAGAGAGAGCATGTGCACGCAGAAGTGCATGTGTATGAGCGGTGGGGGAGAGGGAGAGAGAGAATCTCAAGCAGACTCTGTGTTGAGCGTGGAGCCTGATGTGGGGCTCGATCTCAGGACCTCTGAGATCATGACCTGAGCTGAAACCAAGAATTGGATGCTTAACCGACTGAGCCTCTGAGGCACCCCCTACCTGGTAATTTTTTGTTAGAAGTATGCCATTGTGGATGTTATGTAGCTGCATCTCTGGGTTTTGTTTTCTTCCTTTGAAGAATGTTGAGTTCTCGAAGGGAGTTACTAATTTGCAGATCAATACGATCTTTCAGAAGCTTGTTTTTAAGCATTGTTGGGGTGTGTCTGAAGTACCTGATTCCAGGGCTAGTTCTCCTTGTTCTAAAACATGGCCTTGTTGGGCTCTCCAGAATGTTCCCACTGTTCATTCAGGTCTTTTTGTTATTGCTGGTTGAAATGTGAACTGTTCCACCCCTCTGTTGGCTTTGGGGTCATGTGGGCTAGTTTCAGGAGTGTCTGCCCTCCCCTTTTGGGTCACACTCACGTGGGGACAGTGGCCTGCACTGTGGGTTTCACAGCGGCCAGCTCTGAACCAGCTCAGAACCACAGCTGGCTGCCACAGCTACATGAGCCCGTTCTTGATATAACTGTCTGTGACTGCTGAGTGAACCCTGACATAGGCAGATACTCCCGTCATGTAATGTTCGTGAGAAGAGCGGTTTTCAAAGTGAAAATGAGTTTGCAAACGTTTGAGTTTGTGGACGCACAGTAGCAAAGGCCAGCAGGAAATCAGTGATGAGTAGTGGCTGTCAGGAGAGGGGTGGATTTGGATCTCATTGTCCTCTTCCCCACATCCCCCACCCTGCTCTGTTTCCTATTTCTGTTATGGTAAGCATACATTTTGTTTTGCTACTCTTTTTTTTTTTTTTTTTCATTTTAAAAATAGTTCCTAAAAACTTTATTAAAAGAGGGGTTTTCTTTTTGGTTCCCGGGTTGGGGTTAGAATGGCTGCCCGATTGTCTTCTAGAGAGCCTATTTTTCTATTCTTTTTTTTTTTTTTTTAAAGGTTTTATTTATTTATTCATGAGAGACCGAGAGAGGCAGAGACACAGGCAGAGGGAGAAGCAGGCTCCATGCAGGGATCCCGATGTGGGACTCAATCCCAGGACTCCAGGATCACACCCCAGGCTGCAGGCGGCGCTAAACCGCTGAGCCACCCAGGGATCCTATTTTTCTATTCTTGAACCAACAAGTTGTGTTCTGGGCTAGAGTCAGAGCGAGTTGTGTGAGTTTTGTGCTGGTTTGGTTCAGAGTGAGGACGGGGGCGTGTTCCAGGAAACCTGGTGCCACAGGACCGACCCTTCTAAGCCCAGGCATCTTCTTGGCTTCTTGTGAACAAAACAGGAAGCTGTGGCTCCCGTCTCTCCCATTGCAGCTGGTGGGTAGTGCTGTGGTATATGTGGAAGCCATCCTTGCCCTTGTTCTACCTGTAGTGGGACCCTCGTTTCTCCAAGTCAGTGCCCCAGATCGTGTGTCCTATAAACTGTAGCTCTCTGGGGTTCCGCTGATTGAATGATTAAGGTGGTGGCTCTTTACAGGAGCACATAGACGCACTGCCCGTTCTGGGGCCCCCATCCAGAGAGCCATCTAGGCCTGAGCTGGTTGGTTTCCACAACTCCTATTTGCCTCCCATCTGCCGGTGGTCCTGCCCCGTCGTGGCAGTGGTGACTTCCTGCTTGGTGACCAGTAAGAGTCACAGGCAGCACACATGTAGGTATCTGTGTCTTCTGTGTGTGAGTCTGTCGTGTTCGATGCAGTGATGTGTTGTGCCGAGAAGCGGGCCTCACAGTGCAGCTTGTGCATTAGCAGGGCAGGACTGCACCAGGAGCGGTCTCAGGTGCCACTGTGCTCCAGACAGAGGTGGCTCTGTTGGCCTGGGGCCTGCTTCCCCCTTTGGAGTCACCCCATCCAGGCCTTGCCAGCCACAGGTCTGTTTTCTGCACCAAAGTTGTTTCCGGGTACATTTTTTGTGTGTGTAATTATGTACTGATTATAGGAAAGCCACAGGTGGAGTATTTTTTTTGGTCATTTTTGGGGCTATTTGAGGGAAACTTGAATTGGATCTGTTTTCCCACTGCTGTGAATTTCATCCTCTCCCTGCCCTGCTGTCATTGTCAGGACCTTCCCAGTGAAGATTGGGAATGCCCCGCCCCACTGCTTAAGGTGCTCAGCTTTATTCCTCGGAGAAGAGATCGAATTTGAACACAAAGAAGGTTCTATGTGCCCACAAGATAGGATTTGAGAATGTGCCTATGTCTACACTGAGCACTACATTTGACCAGCAGTCGTCCACTGCACACACCCCATCAGAGGAGCTGCCTGGAGTCCCAGCGTTTAGACAGTGCAGTGTGGGGCCTCGGGCTCAGGTTCAGAGGACCCCTTGGGGCAGTGGGAAGCTTTTGGAAGTGCCGCGCAGCATAACTAATACTGTGGAAGGAGAGGGGGACAGAAACAGACAGCATCTGCGGCCCTGTCAGGCTCCTCTCAGAGAGCTCCATCGGGCTCCTCTCTTGTGCTCCATGTCTGGGGTCTTGCTTGGTGCCCAGGGTCTGGTCTGTTCTGGGGCTGTGTCCGGCATCATTCCTGCAGCTCACCTCTAGGCCGGCAGGTGTCGCTGTAGGTAATGCAGTGATCGTTGCACCTGCTGGTGCTGGTGCTGGCATGCCTGTCGGAATCCACAGTCTGTTGTGGCTTGTCTGGGTTTTGCCTTTGTAAGTCACAAACAGCATTCTTTGAAGGAGAAGAAAGAGAAAGGAAAAAGAGCAGAGAGTAAATTATGACCTGGAAGTGGTGCCTCTGCCCTGGGAGCTGTGCCTGGATGAGGTACAGGTGTTGCCCATGTTGAGCAGTGGGGTGTGCGTTGGGTACCCCCAGGCTGTCCTTCCCTGCACAGGAAGTGGGTGGCATAGTGGAGTGAGAAGGACAGTCAGGGAACCACAGGCATGCTGACCTGCCTCCCAGAGGCCCAGGA